TGTTCCGGACATCGCTGTGACACCAGCATCTGTCACCCCAAGAATTCCAGTGGGAGGTACACTGAGAAGACCTGCAGAAGGGAGCACGAAGCCTTCGGAGCTGTGTTTCTCTGAGCACCCACTTAAGTGCTTCAGAGCTGGCAACGGCAGCATGTCATTGAGGCATGCGCTGTGTTGTTGAAGTTGCGAGTGTTATCCTTCGGCGGCTGTCACGGGCGCTAATTACGTAAACAGTGTCAATTGGGCGGTACTGTACACACCGAAGAGAAAAACCCTTTGGAATTAATGTGCAGGAGAACAGGGCAGCTGAAATGCTGGAGCTTGTCGTCGTTGTGGTCGTTGTTGGAACTACGTCCACCAGCACGGGGGCGAAGCTCTCGACGACCATCTGGGAAACAAAGCCTGTCGGCACAAAGCCCGACAGCCCAAGTAACAAACCCCCGACATGCAAATTTAACTGCCGGATCCTTGTTTAGAAGCCCTCACCCTTCGTCCACCGAAGCGTTGAGGGCCTAACGGGTCGGGGCCTGCGCGGCCACGAACCTCTGAGATCAACCATATGCAAATGAATGCATGCAGGCTGCATATACACACACCTACGCGAGAGTTGGCAAGCAGGTGGAGAAAACGTCACATGCCTGCATGCAGCACTCGTCAACAGGTTCGAAGTATGCAGACAAGTAGAGGAAGATGCGAACATGAGTGATAGAAAACGGGTGTTGTTCAATAGCAGGACTCTACATGCACCACGCTCGCAAGTAAGCGCAGAATATGTCAAGGTAAGCTAATACATAAATCGCTTCCCACAGCAGGCAGCAAATTATCAGATCTTCCGCAGTACACGCACAAAAAACACGTACATGTATACTGATGCATGCATACACAAACAAATCATTACATGCAGGAACAAGAACTGCTTAATCAACAAACACCTAAACAAATAAGGTAGTATGCACATATACATACATATACATACATACATACATACATGCATGTATGTATATTCATACCATCGCTTAACCTTCTTTGGTTGCGGCGGAGGCCTGCATCCACCCCGGCAGCCAAGCTTTCCGTGCGCAAAGCTGCCTGAAACCGGCTCTGATCGCTGCTAACTGCCGCGGCCACCTCCTCTACCTCAGAAATTCGCAGAGTTTGCAGCTTGCACCGGAAAAGCCACCACAAGTCTCTGCCCCCGTTCTTGCGGGGAAGAGCCTACACAGTTCGAGCACTAATTCAGGATTCAGGTTTGAAAGATCAAGCATCTGAAACACCCACCATTTAAAGATCTTCCTAGTCTATCTGTCTGTGTGATTGAATGTGCGAGTATGTCACGCAGTCAGCAGACAAAAACAGAAAAAGCAAACACATTCATGGACGTACATGCACACACAAATACACGGTTACTTGCATGTGTACACACGAACAAACAAACACAAACACACACACACACACACACATGTGTGTGTGTGTCTATATATATATACACCTTTGTGCACACTATATGCACATAACCACACCATTACATACCTACTTGATACATGCTGTTACAACAGCATTACAATACCAGTGCAATACATACCTACAATACAGACCAATACAGTAACGTCTATATATACAAGCATGCAGGTATTTTATGCTACACCAAGGCCCTAGGCATGAGCTATGTCGTGGCGCGTGCAATTTTTTGTGGGTCTGACAGGGTTCTTACGATGCCTGATTGCGAAAATTGGCAGTACCCACTCCGAAGGACGTCTTCGATGGGGTCAAGTGTTGATGGTCTCCTTCCTGATCGTCTCTGGGTGTCGTGGCATTTGTCTCCCTTTATTCTTTTACTGGCTGGTGGTCTTCCCGGTCGTCATGGTCGTGCAGGTGTATCGATGGTTTTGACAGCCCCCTGAATCTCGGGAAGTTCCTGCACACAAGGGTGGACAACAACTCAGGTCCAGACATCGGATGCCAGCTCCACCGGCACCACGGCGATATAGGACACCTGAATGGGAACAGAGAACGACCATTACTTGACGTAATGCATAGACTACCTCCCCCCGCCCCTGAACTCCCCCCCGAATGGAAAAGCTTGCTAATCTGTGTCTCATCCTTGAAATCCCTAATTGAGCTTAATTAATACTTAATACAGCGGAAGTATTGGGTAAGAATTCATTGCTTAAGAACTTGAGGGGCTGAATTTTCCTGCGAATTGTTATTTCTCCACCCGTGTCATGCCGCCTTCGACTTAAGAATTTGAGCCCCCCCTGAAATCTGGGGCACATTCTTAGCTCGGAATTTTGTTGAACCAAAAGTTAAAAGGGAACCCCCTAATCAAGAGTCTGAGCCCTCACATTCTTCACTTTGATAGGCTCTTATTCAGGGCTGGCTCCCAAGCTGGAGACCTTAGAAAACCTCCGAATTAAGAATCTGAGCCCTCAGATTCTTAACCTTAATAGGCTCTTATTAGGGCTGGTTCCCAAGCTGGAGACCTTAGAAAACCTCCGAATTAAGAATCTGAGCCCTCAGATTCTTAACTTTAATAGGCTCTTATTAGGGCTGGTTCCCAAGCTGGAGACCGTAGAAAACCTCCGAATTAAGAATCTGAGCCCTCAGATTCTTAACTTTAATAGGCTCTTATTAGGGCTGGTTCCCAAGCTGGAGACCTTAGAAAACCTCCGAATTAAGAATCTGAGTCCTCAGATTCTTAACTTTAATAAGCTCTTACTAGGGCTGGTTCCCAAGCTGGAGACCTTAGAAAACCTCCGAATTGAGAATCTGAGCTCTCAGATTCTTAACTTTAATCGGCTCTTATTAGGGCTGGTTCCCAAGCTGGAGACCTTAGAAAACCTCCGAATTAATAATCTGAGCACGCAGATTCTGAACTTTCATAGGCTCTGATCAGGGCTGGCTCCCAAGCTGGAGACGTTAGAAAACCTCCGAATTAAGAATCTGAGCCCTCAGATCCTTAACTTTATTAGGCTCTTATTAGGGCTGGTTCCCAAGCTGGAGACCTGAGAAAACCTCCGAATTAAGAATCTGAGCCCTCAGATCCTTAACTTTATTAGGCTCTTATTAGGGCTGGTTCCCAGGCTGGAGACCAGGTCCCAAGTGGGAAACCTTTGCGGAAAGGTGTGGAAGACTGCTTTAGCATAGTGGATTTGCGGCCTCCTCAATGCCTATTTGGACCTTGGGTCAAACCCCGGCTAAGAATGTGCTAAGAATCTGAGCCCCCCTGAAGCCTGCCAGGCAAGCAGAATGTGGAAGTGGTAGGAACACTCAAAGCTAAGAATCTGAGGGGGGCTGCACCGCCCTGCCCGAAACCCCCCCGCGAGCCCGCGCAGCCCAAAACACCCTACCTGCACGCACGCTCGCACGCATCCCTGAAACAGGGGAGGTGGCTACCGTAACTCGGCAGGTTCGAGTTACGGTAACCCCCCCCTTGTTTGAGCAGGTACGCAGGCACGTGCGTTCCCTCAAGCCCTACTCAAAAACGGGAAGGGGATTCGGGCCGTTCGGTGGGGGTTGGGCGGGGTTCGGGGGTCGGCTGGGCAGGCCGCTAGGGCTTTCTCCGAGACGGATGTTTCGGCCCTTGCTTTACCACTTATTACTTTGCCACTGCTTTCCCAATCAAGGATTTCAAGATGGGACACAGATTAGCAAGCTTTTCCATTCGGAGGGGGAGTTCAGGGGGGGAGTTGGATCATTATGATAACGGAGGGGCGACTCGTCTGCAGGCTCTGGGGGACAACAGGAGAAAGTAACTTAGTTGCGCAATGCCCTGCAATGCCCGCCTCCCATCTCTTGGCTGAAAGCCGGCGTGCTTCTCCGAGCTCCTGGTCGCTGGGACAATGCCGGACGAGACAAGATTTGAGTTGACACAGCGAGAACCGAGGTCGCGAAACCAGACCAGAAATCGACTGAGCAAAGGCCTCTTCCAGTCGCCGCAACGAAGTGACGGTGATGATGAGCTGACCTTATCAGCCACAAGGTGCTTAGCAAGGAAAGGTGTAAGATCTGTATGCTGCTTGCATAAGCTCCAGGCACTTCAGCTTTTGATCAAGATGTGCTTTCAACCAAAGGAGTTATATCAGATCACAGCATGTGGCCGTTCACAGTGTCCCACGCCCACCAGAAACCAAACACGCATGAGTGCTTGACACATTGAAGGTTGTTGCTTTCTTGAATGCAAACAACCCGACATCCTAAGCTCCGATTGCTTTGAAGCGGTGCACAGCACATGCAGGATCTCGGATTGGCCGTGATCGGTTCAAGACTGCCGCGGCTTCACCAATGCCCATGCCAACTTTGTCACATTGAGATTGGCAACAGCACTTCTACAATTGGGCAGCCGAGAAATCCCTCCCTCTGCGTGCCATGGCCTACACTCTACATGCCAAACCTGACGGCAAGTCCTGTGCTGTTGCTTGCACCTGCAGCCGGGTGACCAGCATCCTGAGGGACAGTGTATTGCAGCGGTGACTCGTCTTTACCACGGCTGTGTGTTCGCAGGCCCAGTCAAAGAACTGTCTACGATTCCCCACAGCATAATCCAGGGGCATGGAAAAAACACGTCAGGTTCTTGAGCACGTGCATCGCTAGGCGAGGCACTCTGGCTGCACTGCAGCAAGACGGATCTGAGTTCGAAGTTTACAACCACAAAATCCTTGCTGAAAAGCTCGGAATCCACAGACTCTGTGCCACCAAACTCCCATGAGTCGAACCCACAGCTCTGCACGTGGCACCAAACTCGGAACTGATTACGCCAGGCTTCTACATCCAAAGTAGATGCCAGCGCCTGCCGTGCTGCCTCCTCTACCTGTGCCTCTGACGCGCCGTCGAGGTCGAAAACAAAGTCGCCTGTCGAGGGGGCGGCTGTTACGTCTCGGGTTTGCTGTTTGCTTTTCCAGTTTCAGGGATGCCCCGCCCGGGCCTGTCAGGAGAGCCACCACACTCCCCAGCACCACGCACGCTGTCTCCTCAGCACATCGCGATGCACGCGGCTCCGTATCGAACTCCAAGAACAGACATCCACTCACCATTTGACAATGGAAGTTTGCCGTGAAACCAGATTGGGGATTGGGGAAACTCTCGCCTGAACTAAGGGCTGCAACAGCAGGCCCTCTCATGGCCGAAAGGAATTCCAGCCACAAGCAGAGCCATCGCATCGGCACCGGGGAAGGGCTCTTGTCAGCCTGCGCTATAGGCCGGGCTGCATTCTCACTGAGCACCTCCGCGAAGTACGCCACCTGGGACACGACTGGGTCAAAGTTGAGGATATGCGACGGGGTGCGAAGAGTCTCGAGTTTCAGGGAATCGCTTGTGTGCTTTGTGTGACTGAACGCCAACGAAGAAACAATTTCAAGCTTGACCCCCATCGCGCAGCCACCTTCCACTGACACAGAAGGACCGAGCTCCCCACATAGTGGGTGACCTGGCTCATGTCCGCGGGCTCTTGCCAGGTCAGGTTGCCTCCAAGATGGCCCAGGTCAAGGTCGAGATCCTGGTGCCCAGAGCCCATGACAGCCCATAATTGCAGATTGGGGTCCTTCGAGTGAGCTGCCACCGAGGGGCAAAAAAAGTCAAGTTGGAGGGTCGTGCAACCTGAAACATTTCAGGCAAGTGTGTGCTGTGGGTTTCTATATGTCGAGGAGTTTAGGGGGAACTTACATCCTGGGTGCAGTAATGTTAAGGATTTGGAATGATGTCGAGTGCCAGGTGTCAGCTCTGTTCAGGCACTTCACTCGCCGGTCCAATGAACAAGCCAAGACAGTCGCTAGAGCTGTGCATGCCGGGTCGGCGACCGGGGTTCATGGCATTCGGGTCATGGCTTCAACGCAGGCCGGAAATCCTTGATGTTATGATTCCAACATTTCCACATCCTCGCGTTGGTGGTTTCCGTCCAAACCCTGTGGCCACTGCTGGAACCGGTAGATACCGAGCCTTGAACGAGCATCCGAAGTTGAATCGCTTGCAACCCATCAAGCCAATCAAGCCCAAGCCGACAAAGCCGGGTTCCTTGTTCGGCGAAAATTGGGGCTGAGATGGGCTGAGCTAGGGTTGTCGGGCACAGTCTTCGAGACCATGACCGGGTGCCAGAGCCGGACCCGGGGACTGTGATGTTCTTACAGAGGGGCCATGACTTCGACAAGGGAGCCGTGTCAAGAATGGCAAGGCTTGCCGGTGTCGTCTGCTCTGCAAGCATGCTCACGGTGTAGACGGCCAGATGGCTAAAGCCCTTGGCAGTTGATGAAACTAACTAGGGCTCAGAATGCCGTGCCTTCGGGTCTTGTGAGTATGGGGCCTATCATGCTGTGGACCTGTGCTGGCTGTAATTGCACCCTCGGCCCTCTCCGTTTCAGATTTTGGAGCCTGGAAGAGAGGGAGCGCTGTACGTAGTAGGCTGTAACGGAGGTGTAACGGAGGTTCTGACCGGTGTATCTGGAATGGGTAACGCACACCCGCCCAAAATCGGCTACAGGATGAAGGATCCTGATCACAAACCCCATATTTACCAGACCGTGCTAGAGTTTACCCCCAAGTCTACATCACTGAATGGGACATTCCATCGAATTGAGTCTGTCGCATGAAACGAGGACATGCTTGACATCGGGGGCTTTAATGCTTCGGATCGCGAATGCCAGAAATCTCCTGCAAGGATCGTGAAGCAAGATACCACAGTTACAGCTATAGCCCATAGCAATACTCCGAGAGTGAATCACTTCAGTCAAGAGGCATCTTGTTTTGTTTCGGCTAAAATTCCGGCAGAGCTTTGGCCAGCAGCAACGTCCTCAATCAAGACAAGACCCCGGAAACGTGTACATACGATACTTGGCAGAGCAACAACGGGTCAATCGTAAAATCAAAAACCGCTCGAACCGTCTTCAAATCAAACACCGCTCGAAACGTCTTCGTCAGGGAGGCACAATCGACATCCGACTCAGAAACAAGTTCAAGCAAACCTTGCGTCGAACAACGTCGCTGCCAGAGAAGCTAGGGATGATCTCTCAAACCTACATAGAGGGGTCGAAAAGCCCTGTATCTGAAACGGAACACTACTTGTAGCACCGGAGCCATGCCTCCTCGACCTGGCGACGCGTGAGCCCATCTGGGTCTTGCAGATAGAGACCTGTGTTGGGTCTTGGAGTTGAAGGGCAGGGAGTTAGGATCACCGCACATGCAGCGCTCGAGGGCTTCTTCCATCGCTGTGGGACTTCTGCAGCGATTCCATGCTGGTCATGGGTTTGCGTTCCAGGGAGCAGTGGCTACACGGCTATACATACTAGGACACTAGGACATCACGATCCCCACTTCATGTCTTTTGCTGCCGGGCCGGGCGGCGGTACCACTGCAGCCGACCCCGGTCTTCCTCGGGCTCGACCCACGTGACGTTACCACCGAGCTCGCCTTCGTCCAGATCCTGCCGTCTGAGATCTGCGGGGAGGTTGGAGCTAAACGCTTGACAATTTGTTGGTTTTGGGGATCACGGTCGCCGGAGGGAATCTGGTCACAACTCTGGTCCTCATCGGTGAAGTTCACCGCCGAAGCGCTCGCGGCCAAATCTTCAATCAACAAACCTCGCATGCGACCGAAGCTTTGGGACGCATGCTTACAATGCATATGGACACGGACACCCAGAACCCCGCTCGGAAGTGACAGTGCCATCTCATGCCATCTCCACCAAGCCGCTTGCTGGGGTGCTCTGCTCGGCAAGGCTGGACTGGCCATAGATGAGAAAATGGGTGAAGATGCGGCTTGAATTGCTGGCCAATGGCGTCTCTGGAGGAACCACCAGCTCCTTGCGAAAACGAAGCAACCCCCTTTCAGCAAGCCACATCCAATGGCGCAAACAGGTCAAAGCGCTGTTGGCTTAGTGCTCAGGTGGCTTCACTTCTGCTTCCGAGCTTCTGTCGTGCCAACAGGGATGGAAGCAAACAGCACGCGCTCGACGATCTCAAGCCCACTGCCGCCGCCCTGAGAGGCAGGTGGAGGCTCGAATGCAGGGTCCGCCGGCTCCGCAGCAAGCTTTCCGCAGCAAGCCCGAAAAAAGCATTGCCACGAGCGCAAACCCGGCTCGAAATATGTGCTCCAGGACTCCAGAAACACAATTTACTTCAGGGGTTAATCGGCTCCTAAGGTTCGGCCTGGGCTGCGGAGCTTTGGTGCCTACCCGCCGCTACCGAAAATCAAGCGGCCAGCACCGGGTCTGTGCCGTTGTCAGAGGTGTCTTCTGCGATTGCCATGTAGACCTCAGCGGCCACTCATCGTCTGGACGCGGTACAGGGTTTGGAATTGAATCTGGTGTACGGCTGATGCGACACTTTCGTAACTTAGACGTGCTGGGTCACATCCCAGTGGGCTTGCAATTTTGGAAAAGATGCCCAAACGATCTCTCGGAGGCGGAACCCTTGCCCGTCCAGAATTCAAAAAGCCCGTGCAGAGAAACGTTTCGCAGCTGCAAGAGGGGAGCCCGATAAACGTCCACGTACTGCAAGTCCTCCGGCTCCGTCCACGTCAGGTTCCCTCCCAGATCCTCTTGGTCCAAGTCGAAGTCAGAGAAACCTTAGGTGGTCAGGGCATGCTCAGACCTGCTAGATCCAGAAGGGACTGTGCACACTTTGTTGGCATCATGGCCCCTAAGCTCGCAAGCCGCTACGGCCCACTACAGCCAAGAGACTGAGATTCAAGGCAGTCACTGCGGAATCTGAGATAGCCGCAGACGCAGGAGTTGTCCTGTGCACCGATGGTTCAGGATTTGCGGATTACGGCAGCGGTTCACCGCATGGTCCGATGTGGACTTCAAAGGTACAATGCTGGAACCGATTGCGGTCCGTCCGTGTGGCAATTTCTCAGCGAGAATGTGTGCGAGGAACCACAGGATCCAGAGTCCAGAGTATATGACGAACACAGGATTTGCGAAAACATTGCTGAACGATGATCGTGGCGGGTCATTCGGCACTGAAATCTCGTAGCCAAGCAACTGTTCAACCAACGGCGATTTGGTGTACACCAGCCTGGTTCACAGGGGCACAGCATGCCTTGGAGCTTTGTTTGCCTGCCGTGCAAACCGGGTGGCAGATGCGTGAAGGATTCGATCTTTGTATCCCCCAGGATCTCCTGATGAGAGGGCAAAGCTGAATGCAACAAAGAAGGAAAGCAAGAACGGCAGCGCGACCTATGCAGCCGCATATCAGAAAACCCTTCAATGTCGCTGCCCTTCTTTCACAAACTGACACTGACGAAAGAAGAGCTCCTGCAAGGCAGCGGAGGGATCAACCACCGAAAACAGCTTCCTGCCATACCCAGTGTCGCCTGACAGGTTCGACTTGCCGCTCCACGGTTGGGGATTTCAGCACTCTTGGAATGCAGCCCCTAGATGCTTTCCCTGTGCACTGACGCCAAACCACATGGGAAGCAACTGCAGCCCAAGCGCTCGCGGCAAAGTACACGTAGTACGACTCCACCAACCTGTCTGGTTGCACTGTGGGTTCAATCGGCATACAAGCTCCTTACGCCTGTGAAGATTCTTTAAGAGCCTTTGGGCGGGAGATGAAGGGAGCGTCATGCCCCCAAGACATGCTGATGTTATGCCTTATGCATCCTTATGCCAGACCTCAGTCGCAGTCGTAGAGGGACTTCTTGGCCTATGCAGAATTGTGGATCCTCGATGGCAACCCCCTCCTGAATCCTGAAACCCAAGCCCTTCCGGATATCTTGCTTTCGCTCAAGCCAAGATATTTACTCCAATTGCCGGCCACAGAGCTCGATGTCGCTTGACGGGAGCGACCACTCCTGCGTTGTAGTCGCTGCTACAACATTGGCCGACGTCTGCGTTCTGAACTCCTAGCCGTATCATCAGTGCTGCCGTCCCGTTTGCAAGCCCTGGCATGGAGTACGGAGTGTGACATGTCCACCTGTGTCTATGAGGCCGGGCTCAGATCGCAACCCTTGACTTGAGGTGTGACATGGCGCATGATCGTTGCTTCATGTTGCTTTGCTGCCCAGGAGCCAGGCTGCCGCCCAGGTCACCTGCATCGAGGTCCAGGTCCGTGAAACTCACGTTGGAAACCTCAGCAACTTTGACCAAGTCCATGTGCCGTCATGCTGCTATTTTCGCTGGGATGAACACCTCACGATTCTTCAACCCAGCTGCGCTGCTCACAGAATCAACGATGGGAAGGGCCATGGGCGTCGTTTGCTCCACAAGCTCTGACCTCGCGAAGATGGTCCTGGGCTGCTGTCGACTGACGCCTTCCCCATGGCCTTCTCTTGCGGTTAATTTTCTGAGAAAGAAACCCTTCCTGAATCCAGCCAGGCGTCAGGTGCGTGAAGGAAAGAAGAGGCGTGTCCGGTGGAACGGCAAAGTCATGTGTCCCAACTTCAACGACGCCAACCAAAGACCTCGCGGGTCATTGGAACAGAGAGCGAGGCTTCGCGGCTTCGCTCAGCCGCCTCCCAAGGAGTGAAGCCTGTGAGCTGAAGGCTGTGACTGCTTAGATACTCCATGAGTGGTCGACGTGCACGACCCCGACACTGGCCGCAGGACGGACAACCTCCAGGAAGACTATGTGAGCGTGTAGCTGCGTGGGTTGTGCTTTCCTGTTGCTTTGCATGTGCAGGCTCCGCCGATATTGCTCTTGAGTGGCTCGTGTGCCTTGCACCATCACTTGTTGGGCACAGTCATAGCGGCTATGCACCCACAAGGATCGTACAAAAGAGTGTGGTGGCCGTTTTCATGTATGCCGTATGCATGCATTCAATTTACATCTCGAAATCAATCCCTGCACTCGCTTGGGTGGTTTCCTTGCCCCCGACAATTTTCCGGGCTGGCCAAACGGTGTCGCAGCTGTCAGTTTTGTGCAGCTGCGTTGCCGATTTCTGCCAGCTGGATCTTCGGCCAGGTACACCAAATAGTCCTCAGTCACCATGATCAGCGATTCTCGAGCTGTTTCCGTCCGTGGATGGATGGCACATCTCTTTTTGCGAGATTTCCTCGCCCGAAAATACTGAAGCCCATTCCCTGAACAGCTGACTTATCCCGTAGCGTAGCGAAAGGTCGGAAATGCGTGTCTTATAGCGTCAAGAATCTGATACCTCGCTGGTATCTGCTGGGGGGTACCAAGTCAGATTGCCGCCAATCTCAGACTCGTCCAGGTCCTCGTCGATGAAGCTCATGTTCGCCGCCATGGCAAACCTCACATGAGCAGAGTTTCTTGCTTAAGTTGCGTGGCTCTGGAAAGGCTAGGTACCGACAGACTTGACTTTCTGCTTGACAGTCCGGCGGCTCGTCAAAGAACGCAAGGGCAGCAGGAGTTGTTTGCTCCTGGACTGAGCCGGGTACTACGGGTACATGGTAGTAGGCCGTTCACCGCTGTTCATGGGACAAGGAGCCTTGCGCCTTGCATCCGATCTGCCAACTAACAATGATTGCACCCCGCAGTAAGCCCTGCGACAAATGTCTCAAATTTCACAATCACACTCTTGATTTTCTGATGCCCCTGCCAGTTAGAGACCTCCGCTCGCTGCTTTGCGACGCTGGGCCCACGATTTGCACGGACATGTTGTCTCGGCGCTTCAATATCCCTGAAAGCAGATTATCTCGTCACGTTGTGGATGAGCTTCCGCCAATGTCGACTTGGTGAAGATGGTGAAATGGTTGAAGGATAGGCGCAGTGTATCTGGAGGCACCTTCACAGGGCCCAGGGTTTGTGGCCGGGCATCTGGCTCTGAACATCTAGTGAAGCCTGCTTCTTGCATGGGCTTCAGTACGATTGAGGACGGAAGCAAGCGCCAACTTCACTCAAAGCTTCCGGAATCCTGTATGGCGGGGAGTCTAAGCCTACATCATGATGAGACCAGCTCTGCAGTGCAGGCTATGCATCATGCCAGCCTCCTGGGACGTGGCTTCCCTGGGCAGCTCCGGGCCGAGCTGCGACCGGCGGATGCCGAAGGCGCTTTCGGCCAAGTAGACCACGTACCTTCGCTGAACCTAACCTGGCCTGGGACCTTCTTGGGACCTCGAGAGCCTCCTATCAGAGCTCGAGTTCTCAGCTTCTCGAACCTCACAACCTGACATTGGAGATGCTTCGGGTGCGACAGTCGGTTACTGTACCCCATGCACATTATAAAGCAAATCTGCGGAGCATGTCGTTTCAACTTTCAGGAACAGGAATGAATAATTCCTTCAGCCTGAAACCCCAAGTGCATCAACAGCGAAACTGCAAACATCTGCAAATACACTCCGGCCGAACATGCTTTTCCGGTCCAAGCAGCACAGATACACGCTCTGTCAGGTGAGGGGGCTGCCAAGAAAGCGTGCCTCCAAGGTGATCAAGATCCAAATCCTGTGTTATGGGTCGGTGCTCGTTTGGTGTTTACATAAGGCATTGGTGATTAAGGCTGAGGGGCTTGCAGATGAGTGTTCAACGAAGACCTCGACGTTCCAAAAGGGCTTTGGGATTCGTCACTTGTAGTCTTCGGGATGCCGTGGTGGCACGACAACATGTGCACTTGGGTCAGGTGCAAGTCTCAGCACTGTCGGTTAGGGATGATAGCGGTCTCTGTCAGAACATGAACCTGCTCATGTCCCTGGCAAGGCCGTCTTTTCAGCGACGGCACAGAGGCTTGATCGCGGCTGCGAGTGTAGATTCTGTGGGTTGGTGAGAGACTGGCTGACTAGTTCTTGTGTTTGCTGCCAGTAAATCGAATCCGTTGCGGCCTATAAGTGTATCCTGACACCTTGAAGCCTCCGCTGGCCTTTCGAAACTCTGAATCCCAAGCCGCCCGATTGCTTGAGTGTCTCATGTTCCACCCATCTTACATCCCCTTGCCACGACGAGACATGTCCCCGTCTCCTGCCCTCGGAACTGGATGTTCGAGACACTGGCACTCATGTCGTAGACCTGCAACGCTACGAAGAGCAAGACATTCCAAAGTGCCGTAAATGGATGTAAATGCGTACAGGCCGGGCTTAAACCCAGGTTTGGTGGCCACTCGTGGCTTAAGCATGTTGGTCATGAGTCATGAGGCAAATTGCGCTGGACAGCCCTGGCGAGCCTGGAGGAAAGCCGGTGTCGTTTGCTCCTCCAAACTGGATGCCGCATAGACCAAGAAGTAGCCTTGAGAAAAGCTTCGTGGACGCTAAAGAAAGGCCTCACTGAGACGCTAGGGCGCAATTGCCAATTTAAGAACCCTCGCGGGGGGACAGTGTCAAGACTGCAACACGACACCCGAAGCCGAGCAGCTGTAGGGCGAGAGTTGCATGTCGGGTGGCACTTCCAGCGAACTGTTGCCTAAGCTAGCTCCACGCGCACTATCCGCAACAACAGCGCAATGCACAAACCGGAGCCGGCTTGTGCTTGTGCATTCCGGAACCAAGGTGATTTGAACTTCGGGTCGGAGATTAGAGAAAGTGTTAAACAGTCCTGCCTAGCCCTCGGGCCCCAGGGTTTTCGGGTCGGAAGGGATTCTGCCCCTCGACCTTCGGGGGGCTATACTCAGCGGTAAGCCTCGGACCGACGGAGACATTTCCAAGCTCAGGCCCACGACACCAAACCTCAGTGCATGGCGCGAACAGGACATGGAATCCTTTTGACTTTGGGATCTTTGGGGGAAAGGCTTGCGTGTCGAGCCACAGACGCGTTTCCCCACGCCGAAGTGACAGATGCCAGTCGACGCGAGTCCTCCCAGTCGGGACGTGAACACATAGCAGAGGGCGCGATGCTCAATGTCTCCTAACTCCTGGCTATTGAGCTGCAACTGGCCTTGGCACAAGCGGGGCAGCGGTCGCAGGATTGGGGTTGCCAACCCCTGACTCTGGGAAACAGTTCAAGATATGTCAAGGTCAGGTGTAAAATGAAAGGCGAGCAGTCCTCCACTGCATCGGAAACATCTTCCACATCGGAAACATCGTCAACTTGGCCGTAAATCCTGATGATCGCACGACATCATCACTCCAGTCCGGCTCGGAAGGTCTCATCATGTCCCATCGCACGACGTCAGCTCCATGCAAAAACCGTCCAAGAGAAGAGGCGTCCTCAGCCTTCGGGTCTCATTGACAGGGTCGGAATCGTTCCAAGCAGTAACCTTGGCCCGAAAGAGCAGGAATCTGCGAATGCCAGCAAGAACGACAACACGACCGCGGCAGTCAGTGGCAGTAGCAGCAGCAAGAACAACATCATCGTCGTCGTCACCGGGGAAAATCATGTGACTTTACAACATCCAGACACAATGTAGCAGCTCAAGTGACAAGCACGTGCAACACGTGTCAACAGTCGGAAGTAAAAACGGCATCGAACGCAATGTACCTGCTGGGACTTGCTAGGCTCGCCGGCGAACCTCAGGGATGGGATCGGAGCCGTTCATCGTCGACTCAGAATATACCACCTCAGTTGGCGGCTGCCAGCGTTGAACATCAAAGAAACTTGACCATCATCAAGCTGACCCCCAAGAGCAGTCATCAGGTGCTTCAAACCCTTACAGAACGCAGCTGCTCCCGGATCCGCAAAAGCACGGGAATTCGACATCTAAGCCGAGCTCGAGCTCGTCTCGAAGGGTCTGAAGCTCGCTACCATAAGCTTGCACATGCACGTTTGTGATACAACCATTGCCGTGAAATGCCCTTCACCTCGAACCGTGGCTTTTTCTGGTGTTACCCTCAGGCCAACCCTCTGTCGAGGCCCGCACTGCCAACTCTGCGAAATCCTGCACAACTCAACGACATGGCGTGCCGGCACTGGGGACAGAAATGATGCGGGGATGCCCCACGCGCTCAGACAAGACCTCCGACCGCACTTAAGATCGCCAGAAGGGCAGCATGCAAGTACATTCCGTTCAGGTTGATTTAGGTCCTGACACGTACCTGAATCATCGCGAGCTTTTCTGGAGGTTTTCGGATTTGGAAGCCTTCGCATTGGATTCTAGGCGCTTCAAGAACTTTGCTTTGGGAAGGGGGGCGGGGTTGGGGGGGTGGGTGCGAGAGTGGGGGGAGGGCTGATTTCGCTCTGGTCCCGCCAACTTGCTGTAAAAAAAAAGCTCTGAACCCACGCCTGCCAGCAAGTCAAGACAGTGCTAGGGCAGCCCGGATTATCTGGAAGGAAGAAATATGAGCTCTGCACCCATGCTGCAGCCAAAAGTCAAGACAGTGCAGATATGCCTGTGAGTATGACATTCGGGAGCCATAGAGAAAACAAACCGATGCCCTAAGTTTCAAGGCCATATGGCTCCAGAAAGTCGTTTTCGCAGGCAGATCTGTGCTGTCTTGACTTTTGCTGGTAGGCGTGAGCTAAGTAAGAGCCCATTCCACATCAACCTGGCTTCACAAAACCCCTGCGGTAATTTACGAGCGTGAGACCAGTTAGGTCCTCCACCACCAGGGACGTGGAATCAATGCCGACTGCCCCCAATTGGCCAGCCAAGTCTGCCTTGGTTTCCGTCGGCGCAAGCAAAAAGCAGAAAGCAGTGACATTTAAAGCCCCACAATCGGAAGCCCACAGCCTCGCGTCACCCGACACCTGCAAGACTTACAAATCCTCAAGTTCACACCAAGCCTTGGCACTTCTATCCACCTGGCCGGGAGACGGCAAAGGGCGTCGGGTCGGCTCCGAAAGAACGGGCTGCGGCCACGATGTTCCCAAGCGACTGTTGGGAAACCCTGGCCTGAGGATTTCTCCATGTCTTGCTGTTTACACTAATTACAATAGGGGTTGCCTAAAACAAGAAATCTTAGGTAATGTGTCGAGGAGTCCCCCATCCGGGGGCGAATTCAGCGATACTGCTCGGGGAGTTCGTCTAGGTAGAAGACGATTCTTGATACATAGGCAGATAGCGAGCAAAAATCAGACAGCTACAATACTTACAGTTTGTCGAGTTTTCTATCTTGCTGTCCGTCCATGCACGCGGAATCCATCAGACCTCTTCTTTGTTAACCTTTCTACGACTCTATCTGCCTATTCTTACGACATGAAGAAGTTGCTACCTACCACATACATACGTACATACATACATGCAGACATACAGATATATGTGTACATATACATATACATATACATATATATATATATATATATATATATGTATATGCATAAGATATACACATACATAAAGACATACATACATACAGACAGACAGACATACATACATGCATATATATATATAGCTATATATATATACACACATAACATACAGAC